TAAGATTTTGGAATTAATTATAAAGAATCCTTCCCATGGGAAAATGCTTTTGTTTTGAATTCTTTAAAAGAAAATATGAGACTTTAAAAATTCAACATTAGAGGGAACTAGAAGGAAATAAAGATTACAATTAAAGAACATTCAAACTCAATTTACAAATACAGAACAAAACACATGGGACATATTGAAGGATATTTTTGAACAACAGATCCAGAAGTTAATTTTAAGAAGTCTGCCTCTATGGATAGACTGTGTTTAAAAGATGTTATGGAACAAGTTTTACCAGACAAGACTGAGACTTGTCTGAAAGTGGATTTTAAAATGACAGGTTACAAAAATGATATGGAAAAAGATGTTATACCAGACATACAAAAGAAACCGGCTGATGTCTTAATAACCAAAAGGGATATACAAATAGCAAACCAAGGGAGTGACCTGGATAATTTTTCTATATTGGATTTACAAAAGAGACTCTTTAAAGCTTTGAAGAATTTTGTGAGAAGGGACAAAGAAAAAATGAAAAGAAATCAATTCTAGGACATTATTTGAAGGGACTAAAGATGAAGATTGTTAAAAGTAAAAGGAAGGAATATAAAGTTGGTTTATTTGATCAAGGTTACAATAGATATGTTATCTCTGGTAACCCTTAATGGACTTTTGCTGACCAGGACTGAAACAATGAGGCTGTAAGGATTTCTTTATAGATAAGAGATGGAATATGGGAAGAAGAGATCATTTGTTGTATTTTAAGAGAAGTTTGTAAGTTACTAAAATTGTTTATACTTGTGATGAAGGGGGAAGTCATTTCTGTATAATTTCTTTTTTTCTTTACTATATTATTTTTTCTTTTTCCCTATTTTTCTATTTTTTAACTTTCTATTTCTTTTAATTCATTTTTTAAAGTTTGTATTAGTTTTTATTGTTGTAATCATAATTTTTAATATAAATTACTATAAAAAAACTCTTGCTCATGCAATCTAACTCCTCCACATTACTTTTCATTTCCCCTCACGCATCCCAGATCTTTGCTGCAGGCCTACCCTTCCTCAAGGGAAGTTTTCCAAAGGATGCAGTAGGAAGAAACAAGGCATCTATTTAAATGAGTATTTTTCTATTCAGGCTGCATTCTATACAACCCATTATGTTTTTTTAATCTGCAATTTGAGTTGTTTGAATTGTGAGCTTACTTACTGTCTCCAAGAAAGTGACCCCCCCCATTTTAAAGCAATCAGCAAAGTTGTAATACACAGGAATTTATAAACAATGAAATATAAAACAGATAGGAGGGACATATATAGGGTTTGGGAAACCAGTCTTTTTAACAATCGTCGTGCTAAGTAAATCTATTTCATACACAAATAATTATTAGCAAACCTGGTTCTGTCCTCGTTTCACAGGGCACAATACATTCTCTCTATTGAGATATGCATTTTATCCAATTTACCATTTTGACAATGGGACTTCCTGTTTTAATCAGTATCAGCAAAGTCAATATTCTGATTAATAAGATTTAAATGCAAGAGTTTAATTTGGGTTGCCATGAGCAAGTAACAATTATCTTTAATTATTTGTTTAAAGAACACAAGACCTGTTGAATTTCTGTAGCACTTTATATTGGCCTTGTGTGACAGCATTTTCCACACAGCCAAGATGAGCAGCCAGCTGGCATTGTCTGCTATACTGAAGCACAGTTGGTTTAGAAAAGCAGGACATAAATTCTTGGATTTTTTTAATTTTTTTATGTTTATGTGCTAAGTACTTTTCTCAAAAGTATTTGTTTTTCCTCAGTCTAAAATGCACTTTCCATAACAGCCAATTTATGGACTGTGATTCATCTGCCCTAATGTTATTGACTAGAGACATACTTTTTCTCGGATTGAGCAAGAAAGAAAAAAAAGTTACTTCCTTGTCTC